AGAAATGTTTATTAGTTTTGATATAAAAATTTAATTAAATGTTATTCTTATTTTCACTAGCAAAATATCTAAATGTTAATAAGATCAAGTTATGCAGAAAACTATATCAACCCTCGATGATCTGAAATTCAAGTTTGTTAAGATTGAAATAAGTAAACATAATAAAAGATAACTGTATTTCTTGTTACGTTGTTGTTTTCAAATATATTTTTTTTAATAATTCAATTAATACAAAATTGTCTAAAATTTATAATAAAGAAAAAAAAAAACAAATGTGGGACTCGTGTCTTGATGATAGTTGCCTAATGTTAGACTCGTTCTATGAGTTAGTAATTTATTGCTAAATAAAAATAACAAGTGTGTTGAACTAATTTGTAGTCATTTGGGAGGGGGTTGGCAAGTTTATGCATAACTTGGCACAATTAGGTAGGATATGTCTTGTTGAAGGGAAATATAAGTTTATATAAAATACTGGTCTATTTTAAAAATGACTGAATTGAACTTGGAGAAGTTAAATATAAATATACAAGGTTCGATATAAGATAAATATTCGTACGTAAAATTAGGTCGAGCTGAACCGAAGCAAGCTGAGCCGGTAATGTCGTCGTCGTCGTCGTCGTCGTCCTCGTCCTCTTCCTTCTCCTTCTCCTCTTCCTCCTCCTCCTTCTTCAAACGATGAAGAAGGGAGGGAAACTGAGGTGGATTATTACGGCACTGACGGCGTAGTACCATGGACCTCGTCGTTCATGGTATGTATGCACGTGAACTTGCTATAGTGCTACAGTGCTGCGGTGGGATCGATTCGACCGAAGGTGTAAGCCCTACCTCGATTTACAAGCTTCGATATATATACCCTCCTCGTAGCGCTTCTCTCGACTCTTCCCTCTTTTTCCCCCTTCTTTTTTTTTTTATCTCTTTACTTTTTGCACCCTCTCTAAATATTCCTACCTTTTTCTTTTTCCAATCTTCATTCCCTTCGTTCTCTTTAACCTTTATCTTCATTTTATTCTTCCTTTTGTCATATTCTCATATTTGTTGGCAATAAGAAAATATTTTTCTTTTTTTTTCCCCTTCCAATCGATATTTCCTTACTTTGTAGAGAAAATAAAAAAAGGATGTAACTTATATGATTGTGAATTTATATTATCACATTTTTCTTGTTGTTTTTTTATTATCATTTACAGATCAATTAAATAAATATTCTTGAATTTTTATATTTATTGAAGAATGATTTAACTTGCACACCACTAATTACAAAAAGGAAAACTTTCATCCCCTCTATTGTTTTCCTCAAGGAAGAAAAAAATATTATTGTTAATTACTTATCTAATGTAAATCTTCTCTAAACATTCTGCGATCTGCTGAACAATATGTGGGTTTACGAAAAAATTTTTTATATATATTTTCGTGTTGTGCGAGGAAAAAAAGAAATAAAAGAACAAAAAAGAAAAGAAAATGAATGCTATTTACAAGTAGATTTTCTTTTTATTTTCTCTAGAAAGGAAGAGATAGAATATTATCGCAATTTATCTATCGAAAATAAATCGAGGTGTTTCTCTGGCGAGCTTTAAAATTATATACACTCATCTGGGAATACTACACGTTCGTTTTCCTCGTGGGTGTATTTCTGTAAACGAACGATGATGGCGTCGTTGGCGTCGGCGTCGGCGTCGAATTCACCGGTGTGCGCATCTATGGAAAATATAAACGCATGGCAATGTGTAACTTACAGTTCGCGCGTGTCCCACGTTTCACCGAACGTTTTGTACATATGTAACTCTCGTGTTCTTTCTCAAATTTTATTTTTGCATTATTATTCAACAAGAATAATATCTATAATGAACTATAATTTATTGTTAACACACAAATTTAAAATAAATATACGAGATAATTTTCTTTATTCTAATACTAAAAAGATTTATGTGTCGATGATTGTAAAATCGTGTATACTATATGTATATAGATAGATATTATTTTTTTTATCTTAAAGAGATACTTTAAATGGCGTATACTTTATGTAATGGAAAATATCTACATATATTTTTATGTTAGATATAAAACTTGTGAACCAAAAAATATAATATAATATTTATTTATAGTATAATACCTGCTTGGTAAACAAATATCTTTGTTTTGGTTTTATCTTTATGGTATAAAGATGAGATGGTAGTAGGGTTGTTAATGGCAGAGGTTCGAAGAAGAGAAGGAGGAAAAAAAAGAGAGAGAGAGTGAGAGAGAGGTTCGGAGAGAAGCACATTCCACGACTTCCAAGGAAGCCTGTGTGGAAAGGAGTCTGCGTATTGTAGTAATTCTTTCCTTCGTTCTTATTATTCCAAGACGACGCATCCCACGATATATACATGTACACATATAATATATACATATACCATCTCTTTAAATATTCTTCGTTTCTTCACTCGAATGGATTCTACATACATATAGATACGTATATAAAATACAAACCGCGCACGATACACTAACACAAATGCATTGGCATACGCGCGATTAGATATAGATCAAAAAGATTCTAAAATTATTTCGATATCTTTATCTGAAGAAAATTCGATTAGTCGAATGCTTACAAGTTTCTTGTTCTTTTTTTTTTAATACATTAATATAATGTGTCGTAATAACACGAGAAGATAATATAAATGTCAAATAAAAAAAAAAATGATTTTCATTTTCATCCTTAGCCAGTGATAATTTTCCGATCATTGAAGAACTAGTTTCGACAAAAATAAATATCCGATCGATGTTAAATAATACGCAACAGCGAGAGATTCTCGAATCCATCGATACAATCCTAGGTTGCGCGTACGTTCAGCCGAGAGTAGTATGTTTGCGAGATATAAGCGCATGGTGCACTATAGCGATCCATTATAGTAGAACTATACTATACTATATAGCAGTAACGGCCTGCGCAGGCGGAATATGGGAAAGCTCTGCCAGTATGAAAGAGAAAGAGAGAAAGATCGGTAAAGAGAGAAGAACTAAAAGAGGGAGAGAGAGGAGAGAGAGAGAGAGAGAGAGATAAAGAAAGAGAGAGAAGAGAGAGAGAAGCGTGTCTAGGACCTTTTCTAGAAAGCAGAAAGCACGACGAAGCAATATTGCACCGTCTGCCAGTGTCATAAAACCCCTTTGATCTCTCTCCTCTTCTCTCTCTCTCCTTTTTCCTCTTATCCTCTTTTTCTCTCTTATACGGTTTTTATTTTTTGATATTTTTTATTTTTTTATCTCATCTTTGTAACATACCATATTTTTTTTTTTTTTTTTTTAATCTCCCAGTAAGTTATTCTTTCATTTGCGGTTTCTTCAATTTAGAACAAGAAAAAAGAGATACTAAATAATCCAATGAAGCGAAAATTCAAATACATTTAAGTTACAAATTATTTATTATTATTATTATTATTATGATTCTCGTAATTGTAAAAGTTTATAGGGTTTTAAATTCGCGCGTCCTACTCTTCGGTAAATTTATAGAAGATATTGTCGGAGATGTTGATTTTCTTCTCGGAGCACCAGGAACGTAGCTAAAAAGATGCACGATTTCTAGGTGCAACAATAATTACGATGGCGGTGGCGGCGGTACCACTAGCAGCAGCAGTCACTGTGCGGAATTGCGCAAGCGCAATGTTCTGTTCGCCCGTTGAATTGTTTGTGTGAGAATAGTGCTTGTATACATGTGTATGTATGCACGCGCGAGCTCTCGCTTTGTGTGTGTGTGTGTGTGTGTTTGTGTTTGTAGATATCTCAAAGAGAAAGAAAAATATAGGCATGGGAACGGGGTAAAGAGGAGAGGAGAAAGAAAGTAAAGAGGGTCGTTCGAAAGAGTACGATAAAAAAAAAAAAGAAGATACTCGTTGGCGATTCCGCGCCAATTTCGTAGGCAGCCCCATCTATGTAACTTTCTTTTCCTGAATCTCTTAGTATGAGTTTCGTGAAAGTATTACCTTAGAGAGAGAGAGTGTGTGTGTGTGTGTGTGTGTGTGTAACGATGAATTTACAATAATAATAGTTTTTCTTTTTCCGATCTAAACAGATCGTGTTTCGTTTAAAATCATTTCAAATACCTACAACTATTCCATGTGGTATAATTTTTTTCATTGTTTTTCATCATTTTCGGCATTGAATCGTATCGTATATTTAGGTCGATATTTATTTTCTGCTTCGTTCTAAGATTTATATATTTATATGCTTATCGAGAATAGATTATCAAATTTAATTCATTAATCGTAGAATTTGGAATGTGTAATATATTGCGTACATACACACATTTCGAATGTTTTTTTTATTTTCGCTCGTTAAGAGTTTATTTTTTTATCTGGTTATGTGATAGATTGCTTTTTCTATGCTGAATCATCAACCTTTTTTGAATTATACATTTTCATACTGACCTTACAATATGGTTATTATCAATGAATTAATTTGATATTATGAGAGAGATGAATCTGCTATAATAGATTTGCGTACTTTCTTCTATGATTATCGAATGAGAACCACTGTTTACAGATACGAAATCTACTACATAGACGTACGCACACGTACGAATACATATATTTATAAACGTGTGGTACACACCCGTATGGTTTTGCGATGCTCTCACTGACGCCGTACGATCTTGGCCGAACCTTTACGAACATAGACGAACGAAAGTTGATTTAAATAATTGCTTATTTAATTGCGATAAGTGACAGAAGATGTGCGAGAACGTCACGAGACTTGGTTCTGTTTAGTCGTCGCAGAAAATATTCTTGGATTGTTTATAAGCACATACTATATATATATATCATATGATGAAAAGAACAGCATATTTTTTGTATTAAATAAAAAAATAATATACATGGATTTACAATTGTGTAAACTGTAATTTCAATTCACGCCGGGATTTACGAAGTGCAGCTGCGCGTACAAACAGTACGCGTAAAAATACGTTACAACGTTTGACAAATGGAAATTCAGTAAGTTTCTTTTTGTTTAAGTTAGTATCATGATTATTTAAGAAAGAATAAATAGGAAAAAGGAAAAGAATAATTAATAGTATGTATAAAATGTAAAAAAAATGAGGATTATACTAAGGGAAAGAAAATCCTGTGAAGAAGAAAATTGCGTTAACGTGCGATCGAACGAACGAACGAAACGAGATGCTCGCAAATTTCTAAGGCAGAGCAGAGCACCACTGTTTATAGCAATAGCAGCGCATGCGCAAAACGCACTTCTTGCACGGAAAATACGCGTGTACTCGCTTTGGTAGCACGACGAAGAGAAGCGGGGAACGAACGTAGTCGAGCTTTGCCGAGGGTCGAGCAGAGCAACATCATCGACGAGGAGAGAAGTCGGAGGCACCACCGCTCACTTTGCTTCGAGCTGTCGAACGCGACGGGCGTTAAACCTATTCGCGTTACGCTTATAAATATATATTTTATATTTATTTATATTTTTATCTAAGATACATTCGCATCAAAATATTTAATAACAATCGTCTTTCATTTTATTCGTTCATTTCATACATTGTAAACTCGCCCGCGTAAACGGCGTTTTTTAATCTTATCATCGACATCATCTTCATCATCATCATCATCATCATCCCCTTTCGACCGCGGATCTTTTTATACTTTTACGATATTATCATCTCGTATAAGAAATTTCAAATTATTCAACATCGATAATATATTCTTCCAGTTTTGATCTTTCATAATCGATTGTTTTTCTTCCTATAATCTCACAAATAGATTCCTCGCGTTCGTTCGTTCATACGTTCGTTTATCCGTTTGTTCGTTGGTACTTTCCGATCGATTTTCCTTCCATAACCTTCAGTATATTCTCTCGATCATAAAACACATAGAGAGACAAGGCCACTTTGATAGAGAAGCTTGTTCTTTTGTGCTAGCTTCGGTATCCTTCCCTCTTGTCCCTGTCTCATTTTCCCTCGAATGACGTTCAATTCAATTCTGCTCGTTCTCGTTTGGAAATGTCAATCTGACGGTGGTAGACCTGAAGGACGATTGTGGTTGCGATCAGAATGGAAAAGGCTAAAGTTACGAAATTCTAAAATTGCGTGATATATACAATAGGATTCTATTGTGATCAGAGTTCCTGTTCACAAATTCTGATAAAAATTAGGAAACGAAACGAAACGAAAGAAAACGAGACGAAAATTACGAAATAGGGAGATAAAAAGCAAGAGGATAAGGAATAAATGGGAAAGTATGGAAGGGAAGAAAAAGATAAGGAAATAGAGAAAGGGGAGGATATAAGAGGGGTAGGATAAGCAACGGGCAGCCAGAGCAACCATTTACACCTGGCTCGAGTTCCTCGGAGGTATATAAGGGACACAAGGTGCGCATGGTAACCGAAGGCAGGCAGACAGAAGCCTTCCCCTCCCCTTTTCCTCTCTTCCTTCTCCTCCCAAGCTAGCTTTGAATCAATAATCTCCGGTCACGATTATATATAGGCTTTCTTCCTCTTTTTTCTTTCTCTCTTTTTCTCTCTCTCTCTCTCTCTCTCTCTCTCGCTCTCTGTCTCCTTTTTTTATCTATTTCAAGTCTAGGCATCGGGAATCGCTAAAATATCGGATATAACATGGATTCTAAATCGTGATGATAAAGGTATTGCGAAGGTAGAGAGACGCAAGATAAAAGTGCGCGTGTGAGAGTAAAAGGGAGAGAGAGAGAAAGAGAAAGAAAGGAATGCGCTTTTTCTCTGTCTCCCTCGCACGTAGAAATTGATTTTCCTCCTCCGTATCCTTCTGGCCTTGTTCGAGCAGTGCGCCGGTATCAGCACCGCGAATTATTGATCTCGCTATATCTTCTCTCTCTCTTTCTCATCTACTCCCCAACGTTTATGGCATTTTCGAAGAAAAGAAAAATATAAAAAAAAAAGCACAAGGAGATACGATAATCAAGGATCGAACATAACAGCGCGATGAAGATTATATCCTTTGGATATTTTAAACAAAATTTTTGTATATTCCTCTTTCGTTCTCTTTCTCTCTCTCTTTCTCTTTTTCTCTTTTTCTGTCTTCCACTTATTTTTCAAAAAATTTTTTATTGTCACATTTAAAGGATCACTATTAATTCGTTCTTATTCCTTTTTTTTTTATTTTTTTTTGTTTTTTTTCTAAAATAAAGGATGTCTTCGATGAAAGCCTGGAACTTGACGGGTCCATCAAGCCGGTCGGTGATTCGAGCATGATCGAGAAGTCGAGAGATCCTTCGGATTGCGAGATGGAGGTCGCGCGGGAAATTCTGGGAGGCCTAGTAGAAGCTACGGATCCGATTATGGAGAAGCAAGAAAAGGAAACGGATGGGAAGAATAAAGATGGAACAATTGCAACAACAGCAACGCCATTACCCTTGCAACCACCACCCCCACAACCAACAACAACAAACGCAGTAACAACGATTTCCAGCGAATCGAGTTTTACACTTTCAGAGAAGATTGTTCCTGAATGTCTTATAGAAGAAGAAACAAATAGGCAGGCCAATGAAAATGTTGATTCACAAGCGAAGACGCCGAATGGCGTCTGTTCAGCTTCTTTGTCACCAGGATCGCCATCGTCGTTGCCATCTTTGTCTTCCTCGCCTTCGTCATCGTCGTCGTCATCGTTGTTATCGAGAAAGAGGCCAGCCGGTAGCGATTTCCTGTCGATCGACTCCGATATTAAAAGAATCGGTGTCGAGATGTCGGAAGAAGAAACGAATCAATTGAGAAACGATGTAAAGAGACTTTCGCCCGTTGAGATAAGTCTTCGCGAATGTACGCTAGGTGAGATTTCATTGACACCAGATTCTCGATCATTTAGCGAAGATGTTAACAATGATTTGTCGGAAAACTCACCATTGTCTTCTAATGTATCGCGAAGTCGACGTAGGAATCAACCAACACCGTTAAACAATTTAGTTACCGAAGCAGACGAAGATATTATGTGGACACGATCAAGGTCTAGGATCATTAAAATTGAATCTACGATTGAAAATGAGGAGGAGTGCTCTACTACGAGTAATAGCATAGAAAACACGGATAACAATGTTCAAAGTAAATTAAATTATATCGAGGATAAAATGAATGGCGACGACAACGAAGACGATAAAGTCAATGAACAAACTTCCAGTTACTTGTCGAAAAACATTTTCTCTGATGAAGACATCGACCGGGCCATTGATAATTCTAATGCTGAAAGGTCCAACGTTAAAAATACGATAAAAGAGGATAAAAGTTCTCTGCGTCATTTGGTTGTCATGTTGGAACGTGTAGATAAGTCGGATTTTAAGGAATGTCAAAACAACGTTCTTGGTATTATAAAACCGAGGGAGATTCTTGGAGAAGAAGGTACAACTACGAAGGACAATGCGCACGAGAAGACGCAAAAGAGTTCTTTGTTGCCTCGTAAATTGATCGTAATGTTAAATCGTATAGACATAAAGGAAGATTCTATTAACAAGGAAGAAGAAGAAAATTTGATTCGTAGTAATACAATAAAATCTATTGATTCTACGGTAAATTGTCGAAGAAAAAATGTAAATCCGATGGATAAGATTTGTACACGTTCGTCTACCCTACAAGAGCGAATACTGGAAAACAATATAAAATTGAGCGATGAATTTGCGGATAAAAGTAAGATGATTGATGCATTGCCGAATGATTATTTTGTAGCCGAAGATCCTGTACGAGAGAAGGAAAATAGTAGTGTTGACGAGATTAAAGATTTGCAGCCAGTTATAATGGTTGAGAGTATGAAAATCAAAGTATCGGAAACGCCGAGAATACTTCCTTCTTCGACTACGCCTATTGTGGATAAATATGACAGTCAAATTTCGTTGGAGATAGGTGGATCATCTTCTAACGAAGTTAATCGTTACTCAATAAGAAGTAAAACAAAAACTGTCGTCGAGGAGCTTGGTGAGAAGGAAGAATTGCGAATTGAAAAAAATGTTGCGAGGAGAGGCAGCGTGGTACAGATATCAAGTAAAGAAACAACGATTTCTCGTGGTGTGCCAGTGGTTATAAAGAAAATTGAAAACGAGGTAGAAATCGTACTGGTGGCGTCTTCGTCTTTGTCAAACGAAGATGATCGTCTGCGAATTCTCGACTCGTCTGATTTGGATTCGTCCGAGACAGCGACACCAGGCTCACCCGGGGAAGCACTGGAAGCTAGTACCGATATCCAAGAGGCGATCGATACCGAAACGGAAACCGAGACTGGATCAGACAGTTCCGAGTTGCCATCGTCAATGTCGACCGTTCGTATTCGCGGTACTAGTTGCGAGAGAGAAGATATCACCGATGCAGCCAATTGTCAAGAAAACGAAAACCTCTGCTGCGACGAGATAGCATCCGAGATAATAACCAGACTTGAACCAGAAAAGCCAGAACCTTTTACCGAGGATTCCGCGGAGAGTTTGGCATTGACGACTGGTGCAAGAGACGAAGTTAGATCCGACGGTAGTGATTCTGGCCTTGGAAGTGAAATACCTGGAGATCCTGGTCCAGCCCCAGCTCCAGAAAGTGATTCGGAGACTTCCTTTCTCGATAGAATACCAGATGATATTCTCTCCGACAAGGAAAAAGGTGAGGAAAAGTCCTCTTATCCTATTCCTATATTTCTATCTTGCTCGACACGAGCAAATACACTTTTCGATTTTATCTTATCAGTTCGCGAAATCCGCTTATCTCGGTCGATCAACAAGGTCGTCATCGCTGTCGTCTTATTCAACACGATCGATCGATCCATTTAACCGTTATCTATATTTACTAGCATCGATCGTTTCCACTATTGTCGAATCCTAGTTTCATAGAGACCTTTTTACGAAATAAACGCATGACCTTTGAGAAGGAGATCGTATCATTTCGCCTAACGATAATCACAATATCTTTCAAGCTCCAACTTAACAAGGATCAGCATTTACTCTCTCATTTTGTACCTATCGAATCGTGTGTAATATCAACCAGCACCGAGCTGCTGTACTTTGCCATCCGGCAGAATGGGAGAAAAGAGTATCGATAAGTCTTGCATCGAACCAATTAACGCGACGTTTACTAACTATTTCATCATTCTTCTTTCTTTAGCTGTTAACCAACTGGAGGAAAGTTTTGTATCAGACACGAGTGTCCCTGGGGTATCGCAGACTACATTAACGACCTTTCGAAGCCCTTCGAAAAGCAATCTCAAACGTAGACTGACCGACTGCATGGAAGAAAGTGAACCGAGTCCTAAAAGAAGCAATACTACTGAGGAGCCTATAAAAAAGAAACGAAATATTCATTTTGATGCCGTCACCGTTTACTACTTTCCTCGAGCGCAAGGTTTCACTTGTGTTCCTTCACAAGTAAGAAGGATCATTCTTTCATTTCATTCGTTGACTGTCACGATAGTTTTATATGTTTCGCAGTTGGGCTCACGATTCTAAAATAAGAAATGAAACAATATAGTAATACTGGTCATAGATGATGACTCCTAAGGTTCTACTGAAAATACAAGCGTTGTTCACGGCTGACCATCGTGGCAGTCAACGTGTTTAATACATTCCTTGTCGCTTAGTATGCATACGCCCCACTTTGAAATTTTTGTTATTTATACGTGGGGCGTATACGATCTATGCGGAAAGTCGCAGAAAATCAATCCGACACGGAACGTGTGAATTGTAAATCGCTGAATTTTTATTTATTTCTATTTCTATATCTGTTTGTAGGGCGGTAGTACTCTAGGCATGAGTGCAACCCACACGCACGCGGAAAGATTTTCTCTTTCCGAACATGCGGCCGAGCAAAGGAGACTGCATCGGGCTAGATTGGCGCAACTACGTTCCGAACGTGCAGCTAATTGTACTACAGAGGCTGCTTCTAGTTCGGAAGATCCGAGCGACGATACCGACGAAGAACCTAGCGACAATGAAGAGCTCGATATCGACAGCTATTATTTTCTACAGCCTGTACCAACGTGGCAAAGACGAGCACTTCTTCGAGCAGCCGGTGTACGTAGGATAGATGCCGTTGAGAAGGATGAATGTCGGGACATCCGTGCGAGCCGAGAACACTGTGGCTGCGGATGCAAGGGATATTGCGATCCGGAAAGTTGTCCTTGCAGCAGAGCAAACGTCAAGTGCCAGGTACATTTATATGGATATTCTGGATAAATTTGATTAAAAAATGGGTCCTTATGTCCACTGTGGATTCGTTGCCGTCGACTAAAAAATTAAGCGAACAATGTTAGTTTCACATTAGTCAGTAAACCGTAGCAATAAACTTTCTCTTTCTATTTTTTCTTTTAATGTGTCTTTATGTGCGTGTGTACTGTTTAGGTCGATCGTGCCGGTTTTCCTTGCGGTTGTACCCGGGACGGTTGTGCCAACAGCTCCGGTAGGATAGAATTTAATCCGGTAAGAGTGCGGACACATTTCATACACACATTGATGCGGCTCGAATTAGAGAAGAAGCAACGCGACGAAGAAGCAACAGATCACGAGAGCACCGACAATCAGAATAACAAAAGCGGACCATTGCGAGATATCAATTTGGTTTCTATAATAGACAATTCAAATACGGAAACGTGTATAACCGGTGGTGGTTTTACAACGTTACACTATGAAAATCATGATACCGGTAGTAGTTCAAATTGTCAAACAGAAGTATCTGGTACGCGAGAAGATAGTTTAGATCTTTATGCTATAAGAGACGATTGTTATCCTAACGAAGATACGGTTGATGGTACGCAGACTGGCCAAAGAAAATTGCATCCCGAATTTAATCAAAGTTTTCAAACGTTTTCGGGCCAAACAGCAGGTGCAAATATGAATTTTCAACAGACCGCTTATCAGGATTATCAGGCTTATACAAATATTCCTTCTACGTCTAGGGTGCAATTTCAGGCGCAATTTCAACCGGTGTCGGGAAGCCCAGGTTTTTCGCATTACGCGGTCTATGGGCAAGATGGCACATCTGTGCAGGACAGTTGTCAGATACATCCTGGACAACATCCTTCCAATTACGAGGCAAACTTCGCGCAAGACGAATCGACCGGATCGCAATATACAAATTTGAATTCCGTTCAACCTATGAACGGTGGAGTCCAACAGATAGGTAAGCTAGAACCGTTCTCGGAATTGCTATCCGGTAGGTACTCGTATTATGGCGAAATAGAGCCGCAAGCGCATGGTACTTATCATGGAAATGGAAATAAGGAAGGAGAAAAGAATCAAACGACGGATGAGCAACAATCGCAAAGTACGGAGGAATGTGACGAGAATTTTGGAGAAATCATAAAGAAATCTATGGTGGAGACTGTGTCCGCTTAGATCTATTCATTTACGTTAATATGATAAGTGAGTGTTTGGTGTCATCGTCTAATGGTGATTTGAGACTGACAAAAAACATCTCCTGTATTGCGACAATTGCATCTTGGTGACATATATATATAGATATATTTATATATATATATATATGTATATATATTTTCAAGAGCTTGATAATCCGTCGATGAGTTTCGATTAAAGCGAAGAAGAAATTTTTTCTATAGAGGAAGAAGGATATTGGAACTGTTCCGTTACTTCTACATTGTGCGATTAGATAAATCCGATTTTATTGTTGTTCGTGATTTTTCGAAAGAATTATCTTTTTCTTTCGTCAAGGATCACTGACGATGAACGATGAGTCCCATGGATATCGTTAGAAAAAATATTGCGGCTACATATGCGTCCGCCCGGGATGGAAATTTTGGAACGTCCTTCTTGAATAGTTTATACCGAAATCCCCTGGGGTGCTTCTTCGAAGTCGAGAAAATGATGACGATGATGATAGATACACTGGAAGAAATACGGTATCGAAGAAATACCAAGAGAATCCGGGGCCTCGCCTCATTTTTCGCCGAAGGATTATTCAATAGGAAGGTCTCCGTCGAAAATCTTTTTGGAGAACAGATACTCGTTTGATTCCAAACAATTAAGATAAAACATGAAAAGAAAAAAAGAAATAAAGAAAAAAAAATTTAACAAAAAAGAGAAAAGATAAAAGAACGGAACGAAAAAAAGAAAAGAAAAACTAAATAAAAGAAAAAGAAAATGGCGGTTATGTTACCGAAGTAGAGTAGGTAATTAACGTGGTTGTGACCAAATAAACAACATGGGATCAGCATAGAAATGCGGTTTATAATTAACTAGCGATATAAATACTTGTAAACGTAGCTCAGAGCGAACGGTATGTCTCTTTTTAAAAGGGATACTTTGGATTATATAAGAAAAGCAACAAAAACAATTTATATATAAATAATTATCTTTTTGTTTTTTATTTTATCCGTTGGTTATATTTCTAGATTGAATTAAAGAAAAAACAAAATGAAAACATAAATTAAATGAAAATAAATCACAAATTTCTAAAATGTGGAATGAAACAAAAAACAAAATAAGAAATAAAAAAGATTATTACGCGCATCCACGGTTATAAACACAAATACGACGACAACATGAACGATTGTGATACTCATGCGTATAATGCAGTCTTGCACACACACACAATGGTCATAGAATATAAGAGATATCTCGCGAAACTTTTATATGCGTGATCGAGAGATCGCATTTGAAAAATGGTCTTTTCGATCGTCGATTTACACCTATTATTCGATAATAGAAGATACATTTAGATCATACTTGTACAGTGTCCACGTTTATTAAACGAAAAAGCAAGCACAAACGTCGAAAAAAAAAATTAAGAAAGAAAAAACGGCCATTTGTAATAACGCCAAAAAAGATGAAGAAGAGGAAGTAAAAAGTTCAAGGTGCTGATATATAACTGACGCGCGCGTATGTCATTTTAAAAGTTTAAGCGTAACTTTTGATCGAATGTTTTTTTTTCTCACATATGCGTTACCTTGAAATAGCAATTTTCTCTCTCTCTCTCTCTCTCTCTTTCCTTCCTTTGGATTTGTTTTTTTTTTTGCGTTTACATACGTTTACATACGTTTACATACGTATACATTCATATACATATACATAGCGTATATACATACGTTACAAATACATACGTATTTAAAAAAGAAAGTCTCGGAGATCGAAGGCCTTAGAATAAAATGACAGTCTCTGACAAATTAAACGATTTGATTTAAAAGAAAACAAAAGTAAAGAACATTAAACAGAAAAACAATGAAATTCGTGCTATACGTAGATGTCAATTTTTTTTTATTAATTTTGTCTTTTTTTTTTATACATACATATTTTCTCTTTTTCTTATTTTTTGCGGCACATGTCAACACGTATTCTTAAATACACCCAGTAGATTTTTCGACACAGATCTTTTCAACATCCCGGGACGTTGATCGCTAATACCCATAATTCAAATAATTCTACGTAAGGAAACAATGATATATATATATATGAGAGGATTAGTATTAAATTTATACATACTTATTGTGTGGACGTGTCAACTCCCAAACTCCTTCTACAAAGAATTGTTCCTTTAATCCTACCCTTGTTATTTATTTTTGTTCTCATTGATCGGTGCCTAAACGATTAATATAATTCGTGTATTTTGGACGAGCATTTTACAAAAATAAAAAAAAGAAATAATAAATAAATAAATAAGGAAAAGGAAAAGGTCCGTCATTATAAAAAAACAAAAAAAAAAAAAAATACAAAAATAAAGACGTGTCTCTGAGAAGAAGGAGCGAGAAACGTCGTTTAATACGCGTTATGTGGGATGTGACACTTCCTAATGGCATATAAATAATACATATAAGCACGTATGTAAGTAACTTTTAGATTATTTGAGTAAAAAAAGGCATACATAGATGATAGCGTTTTATTAAATGTTGTGAAAAAGTCTCTCGTCTCTCGTCTAACGTGTATTGTCTTTTTGTGTACGCGTCTCTGTATCATTACCCATTCCTTGTGTTCTTCTTTCTCTTTCTATCTGTCTTCATTTATCTATCTCTCTTTCTTTCTCTGTCTCTTTCTCTCTTTCTCCCTTCATTGACATAAATATCATATCATCGTCAAAATGCAAGTCTAACGCTTTATCTAAATGTGATTTAAAAAAAAAAAAACCAAAATCATTATAATCTAGCGAGAGCGACCGATTCGATGTAATAATAATCGATTGTTCCGTTCGAAATCGATAATGACAATGATCAAATTTATCACCAAGTTTTTTTTGTTGAAGAACAATCGGAATACACATAACTCAAAACCGCATTTCTATCCGATTGTTCTCCCTTCGTTCCTCTTTTAACCTTTTGTAATAACAGCACAGGCACATATGCATATACATACATTAAACATTTCATCATCATCATCATCATCATCATCATCATCATCATCATCATCATCATCATCGTCATTACGAACATTTTTTTCTTTTTATATAGTACTTATTTTTTCTGTCTCTGTCCTTTGTCTCTTTTTGTCTTTCGAAAAAATTCCAAAGAGGATTTGCCAGCCAAATAGGAAGTGATTATTAACGAGAGGATGAACGAAATAATCGATATGCAGATATAAAAACAGGTATAACATTTTTAATGATTACTTTTTTATACGTTCTTCATAGAATAATAGAACAAGAATAAATAATGGCTGTTTTAAAAACGCCGCCGTTATAATAGCGAGCTGCGTGCGCAACCACCGGTATAAAATGGCGTCGCAGCGGGAACAGAACAGTTCGTAGTGTCGCAGTTATTATCCTGATTATTCTTGTTAAAGTCGACGAAGTATTTATTCGTTAATTTTATTCGTTTACATTTGCATCAGTGAAATAAACATAAATGGTTTTGCTTAAAGTAATTAAACGAAAGGTGAGCATATTTAGGGATTAGAGGTATTTGTTCGAAGGGAAGTGAAAGAGTGGGGAAAGAGAATGGGTAGAGGTAAAAGAGGGAAGGGACTAGAGTAATACCATTGCTCTTTCCAGTAGCCATAACGTACTACTACGTTAACTGTGAGGAGTGGATTGTAAAAGGAAGAGGAGTAGAGGTAGGGAGGTACAGTATAGAGGAGGGGGAGTACTAGCCCGGTAGTGGTGTGTTTCTCGTGTCGCCAACGAACGTCTGGAAGTTGGCGTTTGTCCGTGAGCCAGCAAGGAGGAGGTCCGTATTTACGTTTTTTAGTTAATTCGTTTATGTATTTGTTCTTTCTTTCTTTCTTTCGTATTTCGTTAAGAACGGGAACAGAATTTATGCACCGTGCGAATGAATAAGAACCGTTGGCGAATAACAAGCTGGGAATATCCTCTGTATAATAAATATTCTGAACGTTTTGGTTGTATGGTGGTTTTACGGGAAATTCGAAGAGTGTGAGTGGTGTATAGTTGGTGTATGCAATAGTGTGTTAGTGTAGCGACGGCGTGCAAGTGCCGTTGACGTTTCGTGTGTCAGTGTCCTCTCTGTTTCTCCTCTTTCTTTCTTCCTTTCATTTCTTCTTTCTTTTTTTCTCTCCTCTCCTCTCCTTTCATTCGGCGTCGTTTACCTTTACTTAATTTTCTATCCTTATTTCTCTTATACTTTCTTTATTTCTTCTACAAAAACCCTATTCGACTCTATTTTCCTTTTTGGCGTGCATCTGGAAGGGATAGGACTACGGGATAATAAAAACAGATAGAGAAAGGGAGAGTTAAAGTTTCTCTCTTATTGCCATGCCAAATGACAGGTGCGAGGCGCTGTTGGATAGATTGTTTTCGTCGGTGTTTGGCATCGTAGGGTACGTGATCGTTCCCGCATTTTTCGGAAATTTTGCCGTCCTCGCAGAATGACGAGAGCACGTATAGCCTATACGTTTATTCGGAAGTGCGCCGAGGAAGAGGATAAACAACAGCAAAGACGAAGACCACGACGAAGACCAGGAGGAGTACGGATTCCCTCGCGTTAGCGAGAGGCTATGAGCGCTGACAATGGGGACGACTCCTTGGTAATTATCATACCTTTCTCTTTTTCTCTTTTTATTTAAACCTATTTCATTCCCTCCCTTTCTATATATTTTTCTCTTTCTTTCCTTTTCACGCACATATATACGCACACACATATTCATTTGATCGTTCTCCTCGCACGCTCGCGTGCGTACGCTCGACGGTTCTCTACCGTTTCCGTTTCCATCGTCTCGTTTTGTTACACTGCAGCCATGAGACACACCAAAGCGGTATTCGTTATCGCTCGGATTGCTGCATTCATTATTATGTGTGCATTATATTATATATGTATACCTTTGAATGCACCTGATCAAACGTCTAATTACGAATTTATATACATAGATAGATCCCCAATGAAACACATCGTAGGTCATCTCTAGATAGTATCTTCCATTATTATTATTATTATTGTTGTTAACAATCGTTACGATGTTTGAAATTTAAGAATTTCTCAACATACGATATTATTGTTAATCTTTTTTTTTTTTTCGTTAATTTAATTAAAAAGGATGGACCGTAAAATGTGCGTGGGGGGAGGGTAGGGGATGCATGAACGCCATATTTATTTTAACGGGAAATTCGTGAAATACGACAGACAGATTTGAATCGTTATTTCTCTTCCGGTATGTCTTTATACGAGATTGTATGACGTATATACTCGAGCAGGCGCTTTCACCTAAAAGCGAAACGTTAACGATGTTGCGTCCTTCCTTCTTATGACCCTTTCGTGAAAGTAAAATCATTTCAATGGTGGCAAATTTGCACGTTGTTAATGTTTTCGTATTCACTAGAAATTTTGCAAATTTGTTTTTCTTTCATACATTAATTATAATAATCATAATAATTTACATTGCAGTTCATTAAGAAATGTATTTATTTGTATATAAATTTGTGTATGCGCGTATCAGAATGATTAAGAATTTAAAATAAATACATACAAAAATTCATATTTGCTGCAATAACGTTTGTCAACATATAATCTATACCAGGGTTTCTCAAAATTTTCCACTTTTCTACTTTCCATTGTTCCACAAAATTCCCTCGTTACCTGAACAAATATTTTCGCAACTCTTACTGACACGAGATAGACTACATACTATTTTCTCTTTCACTATCCTAAACTCATAGACATATTATACTTGTAATATTACCAAACTGGTTTTGAATTATTATTTTGTCGTTGCGCGTTCTGGAATTGTTTAATTTTGTTAACATTTTTCTGACCCTTAAATTAAGTTATACTATCCCATATGGGGTCACGATCCACAATTTGAGAAGCCCTGGTCTACAGGATAAAATTCTACGTAACAACGTAGCACGTGGTTAAAGTCACGTAAGTTCTCGATCATTCATCGAATGAAATTTGTATTTTATCATTATAAAAGAATATCAAAAAACTTATCGAACAATAATTCACATTTTCTTATTTTATACTTTGAACATAGATATTTCTTACAATTAGTATACGCATACATATTCGTATACGCGTATATACTCACCCACACGCAAGCCCGTATACGCAACACGTGTGTATACGTGTATACTTATGAGCATATTTATTTCTATCGCAAATATTTGAAAATTCATAGAACGACGAGTTCATATTTACGATTCTAATTTGTGACCAAACGAGTAAGTTGATGTTTCGTTCAGTTAGATATTTAAATTCATAGTAGAATCGTATAAAACATATATACTTATTAACGTTAATCGTATTTCATTGGGTGCCTATTTTGAATTTTCATTCGGCTAGTCGATTCTCTCTTTTTTTTTTTATTTTTTTTTTACTATTCCAGTCACAGTCCGAATTTGGAGGGTCGTGCGCGTTCAACGACATCAACGAGTCAATGAAACCTTGCGAGTTAAGGTAGTAAGTTCGATATTATGACACGATTTTGCTATATTTATATGCTCGTTAATTTTATCGAACACTCCCTTTTTTTTTTTTTTTTTTTTTTTTTTTTTTTTTTTTTTTTTTTTTTTTTTTTTTTTTTTTTTTTTTTTTTTTAACCAATCCTTTCGTGTCTATAGAATCCTGCAACGGAAGCACGATTTTTTGTTCTTTCTATAATTTATGTACATATAAATATAAATATGTTCGTAATTATAAGTTTGATCTTATATTACTACTTTCAATCTTGTAATATTACTCGTTAGTTTTTATTTACATAGATTCATGGATCCATGGATCGATTATCACATCTTTTTTTTTTTCTTTAAATTAGTTAAAATTAATTTGAACAAGATTACTTTTGTTAGATGTTTATAAATTTATATTTTATGTGTGTAGAATCGTTTATTAATAAAAAAAAAAATNATTTTTTTTTTACTATTCCAGTCACAGTCCGAATTTGGAGGGTCGTGCGCGTTCAACGACATCAACGAGTCAATGAAACCTTGCGAGTTAAGGTATAAATTTATATTTTATGTGTGTAGAATCGTTTATTAATAAAAAAAAAAATATTATTTATACAAAATTTTTGATTTATATTTACCCAGTTAAAAATATATTTATGTAATTTGTTTTTATATTTACTATTTATTTTATTTTATATTAAAAGTATGATTTTTTAAGGCCGTGGTTTTCAACACTTGAAGGGACATGCAATTCGAGAATGAATTTTGCTTCGAACTTTCGTTTTTTTCTTTTTCTTTTTTTTTTCATAGATGCCATGGGTTCTTTGGAAGTTTGTTTAAACCAAGTTTATGGTCTTTTAGAATAGAAGTTCACTTTTCGAATCAGAAGAATTATGTGTCAAAGGAGTTGGGGACATGAGGATTTTAGAGATGCTTTAAGTAGGACATGGGTTAAAAAAAAGGAACCACCGATATAATGGATAATAATTTTAGAAATTGATTTTTGTACAACTTATCTTCTCTTTGAAATGAAAGTGAACGCAATAGTAGTATTATTTGTAAGTTACTTTGTAGTCAATTGAGACTCACCGAGTGTAGTTTATATTTTATGTTAGGCACATAGTGTAGTAATCTCGACGTCAAGGCGAATCAAACATTTAGGAACACTTGGAATGCATTACTTGTATTTCTTATGAACAAACGAAAATATATTATTCGATTTAAAAGGAGACACAACATAATTTTATATATATATATATATATATATATTTTCTTTTTAAACGTAACTCGAATATTTTTATTTACATGCGCGCTCTTACATTTGATATTATAATTATTAAAATGATAAATTGAGAGAAAAAAATTTGTTGTTTAATTTTTTGATTATTTATTTAATTACATGTAACATAAGAAGAACATTGCGCTTATTGGGAAAGGTAGGCCGGGGTAAAGCGTTTATGAGAATGCAAAGTAATACGTGTCAAGTCTAACGAGGCGCGTCGGGTCTCGTCTTGTTGTGGAATGCAGAAGGTTGTGTGTGAGAGAAAGAAAGAGAGAAAAGAAAGAGAGGGTTAGAGAAGACTAGAGAGAGAGAAAGAAAGAAAAAAAAGTCAATGTAACGCATTCGAAATGCAAGCTTACAAAAGAGAACAGAATACCCCTTCTCATACTTTTTGTTTACACAAATTATTTTGGATTATCGTTTGAATATAATTCCTATAAAAAAAAAAAAGTAATAAAAAAACAAATATATCCATTAGCTTTGAATAATAGGCGAAGTAAATTTATATTAAAATTGAAAATGTCTAATAATAAGTATCGATCGAACGTTCGGATAGAAAAATTGTAACAAATTCTAAAAGTGGAAGTTATCGCTGTGACTTATTATATATAGGAGAGGCCGTTCCAATCGAGAGGACAACCTCGAGGACTCGATTGGTCGTATCGATTTCAGAAATAGTGACACGTAAAAAATCGGTGACCGCGTCCTGTCTCGAACAGACAACGTAGTGGATATACTTACTTTCACGTTTTCAGTACTGTTCGAACTTATACGAAGAAAAAAAAGAGATAAAGTAAGATAGACAAAAAGACAGATAGATAGAGAGAGAGAGAGAGAGAGAGAGAGAGAGAATAAAATATATCGAAGAAAAGTCTTTCATTTCTGCTGCGTTTGCACTCGATTCCGAATGGACATCCGACTTTCTCACGATCGAGTTACCTCCCCGTGGGAAGATTGATTCGTGCGAAACGTGTGCACATTTTCTTCTCCTTTCCTCTTCGACGGGTCTCAGGATACGTTTTACTCGATCTTACTCGACTACTCTTCGTTGCATCGTTTTATAACGGGTGTTACAAGAACGCTTACAAACGGGATACCGATCGTTCAACGAAGAACCGTTTTTGGAACTGTAACGTTAGACCTATCGATCGTTTGTTGTTACATTTTTTATCTTTCTATCATTTCATCTCTTTGTGTCATTTATTTTACAAATTATTCAATTTTGTCGACAAAAATATCACTTATCTGATATAATAATCTATGTCAAATGAATTATTCAATTATTAACTTAATACCAAACGTATAATTTTATCGTTGAAATAACTGGTTTTACAACTTAAAATTACATTTATTTATTCAATATTATTGCTTTTCTTCATTGTAATTTACGTCAATTATAATTATATATATAGTTTTATTAATTATTAAAAATTTGTTTAGCCAGATTGATTAATAATAAATATAAGTTTTGTCAAAGATCGGTTTTGCTCGGATTACATAAATTATCGGTAGGTTTACGGTCAAACTTTATTAATTAGTATTTCTTTTACATAAAAAAAAAATGGTTGTCTCTAATTTTACGAACATATTCCTGGAATGGTGAATAATTAAATTAGCACACACCTTAAAGTTTGAAATTCAACATAAGAACGATCAATTTGTATTTTTCCTAAGTTTAGATTGATGGATTGATAAATTATAAACCTTTCGGAAGTTATTGTTTTGTTGTTGAGGCAACGCCAATCAGTTTCCGTGATTGATCATTTTCTCGATAGAATAATAACGTAATCGTTTCTATAGATATATTTCTAAGAGATTATTAGAGCATATCGGTAATATCTACTTCGTGAAACGTTTAAATTG